ATTAAGTAAATAAGTAAAAAAAAGGCATTAAAAATTGACCCATCTTATATTTGGGGCATAGCTCTGTAGTACATTGCACCTAGCATGTGCAAAGACCTGAGTCTGCTCACAGCACTGCCAAAAAATGAAAGGAAAAGGTTTTATTTAATTCATTTTCAGGATAGTGTTGGACAATCTCCCCAATGTCTTCTTCATAGGTTTATTTGAAGTCCGGGCCCTCCAATATTTGGAAACAATTCCTGAGTCGGAACCCAGTGGGGTAAATAGAATTTTGCGGAGTCTTGGTGAGTTACTTTGCTCTCCTGTTAGATAAATGGCTGTAAAAGAGCGTCACAGAAAACAAACCTCATCCCAAAGACTCATACTCAGGGTGGGCTCTGAGCTGTCTCTCTTAGTGAAGCCCCTAATTAACCTTATGGTAAAAGTTTCCATGCCATGGTCACAAAGTTTTTCTAGGTACATCCTTTAATGATCCTGTTTAGCAGAAAAATATATACACAATAAATTTTACACACAATTTTAGGGTGTCCATGGACCCCTGACTTGTGGACCCATGGACTTTAGACTTAAAAAATACCTGACCTGGAGGAATGAAGAGCAGAGAGAATGCCTCACTCTAATTTTGCATTTCTTATGATTTTTAAATTCCAGTATGACATGGGAACAGTGATGTGCCTATCCAAAACAATGACTTTAACTCTGAGCTTCAGGATATATGCTTCTGATTAGACCCTGTCCTTACCTAGCTGAGACCACAGCCAATTATGCTGCAGGTTATGATTCCATCTGCACCTTGGGGTTGGATTAGATCAGATGATCATCTTTAGGGACTTTTTAAAAAAGTTTCCCTTGTGCTCTGAGAATCTCTAGGGGTGAGCCAGGTAATTTGAAACTCAGTTTGAGTTGAAAATCACTTGTATTAGATTATGTCTTGAGTTCTTTTCCACTTCTGCAATAAGACACTTTTTTTTTTTTTTGTGGCTAAACACATCTACTGATAACTTCCCATTAGTGCAACAGAATGCCTGAGATAAGGATGGGGCTTTAGACTCCAGAGGCTTATTTGGGCTCCTAGTTTGGGGATTTTCAGCTCATGACTGATGGGCTCTGATGCTTTTGGGCCTGTGGCAAGGTAATGCATCATGACAAGACATGGGTAGAAGAAGCTGCGTGGTCATGGCTGCCAGGAAGTAGAGACGGAAAGGGGCCAAATATCTACAAGGGCACAGTCAGGACCAGACCTTTTCCCTCTTTAAGGTTCCATTACTTTCCAAAGCTGGGGACCAAGCTTTTACGAGTGGTTCTGAATGGCTAGGTCGTTAGTACCTTTTCCTCAGAGGTACAGCAGGTGAAGTAAATGAACACTCAAGCTCTTTTCCTCCTTCCAGGAAGCAAAATGAGATTCCTCCACAAGAAGTGAGTCTATCTTCTTCTACACATAACTGAAAGTGCCAAAGAGCATTTCTCCAAGGGTGTGGATGCCTTCAAGAGTCCTACAGAGTCCTTGAATTCTAAGGAGAAAGGCTGTCAGAGGAGGACTCTCCTGTCACTGCAAACCAACCCAGAGCAGTCTAGAACCAATGCACTCTCTTCTGCTTCTCCTTTGGGGACTTTTGGTTTGGCTGGTTTGGCTGGTTTGGTTGGTTGGTTGGTTGGTTGGTTGGTTGGTTGGTTTGGGTTTTTTTTTTTTTTTTTGAGACAGGGTCTCTCTCTATGTAGCCCTGGCTGGCCTGGAACTTATTCTGTAGATCAGGCTGGCCTCAAACTCACAGAGATTCACCTGCCTCTGCCTCCCAAGTGCTGGGATTAAAGGCATCACCACACTAGGCCAAGTTATTTTTACTGTGGTGTTTTCTCTTTAGTTATTGGTGGTTACAAGGAGCTCTATTTTGTTTTTGTTTTACAAGACAGGGCTTCTCTGTAATTCTTTGGAAGCTTCCCTGGAGCGAGCTCTGTAAACCAGGCTGGCCTCAAACTCACAGAGATCCTCCCGCCTCTGCCTTCAGAGTGCTGGGATTAAAGGCATGTGTCACCAACACCCTGATGGAGCTCTATTTTGTGCTTAGTCTATGAAAGCAGTTGTCTAGACAAGGAAAAGATCCGGAAAATACTTGGTGTTGTATTTTTTTAAAAACAATTCCAAGATGAGAATAATGAGAGAAATGCTGAGTTCTGGGTACTAGAGAGGCTCAGTAGAGATGGAGAACACTGTGATGTACCTTACACACGACTCTCATTAGGAAAGCATTGAGTTGCTTTAAACCCATGGGTTGTTTGTATTTTCAAATTCCAGTGTTTTCAGTATTGATAGCCCCCTTTTGTCCTATGACCGATCTTGATGAATTTCTCTCATGTTAGTACCTTAAAAAAGCAGACACCATACTGGTCCTCCTCAAAACATGTGTCTTGCTGGAATAGCTTGTCTCTCACCTGTCAACATTATTATGCTTTGTGGATATTATAGCCAATATGAAAATGTCCTTTGAAGGACATCAGCTACCTGTTTGTTGGCTTTTGGTGTCCACAATTTGCTGCATTGTGGTACATTTACAAATGTCATTTTATTCAAGCTCTGGATCAGCCTCACATTTTGCAAGAAACTGGAGTTCAGAGAGGCTAAGTAATTTGGCCGGTTATACACTTAAGATAGAATTAAACAAAAACACTTGCCTTATGAACACAGAGAACGCTAGTTAGTCCTACAGACGGAAACTTTAGTGTTATAGCAATGTTTAAAGTTCTCCAAATTGTGTACCAGAGGCACCTCTACGCTTTGATGGGACTTCAAACTCTGGGTGTCTAGATGAGACACTGTTTCTTTTGTGTTTTGTCTTTGGTGCTGGGAACAGAACCCAGGATCTTATGTGTGCTCTGCCATACTGATTATCTTTACATTGTTGTGAGTTTTTATACTAACTAGACTCAGTATTTCCTAAGCCTACGCCTCTTCATCAACCAGATGCTGAAAAGCTAGAGCATGAGTAGTGCCTGGGAAAAGATGTTTGCCAGTGAAGGTGCAATTTTTATTGATAAATGATAAATGTTCTGGCAAATGTCAGTTTTTTTTTTCTTTAAGCTTTGCAAATGTTATTACCTAGCATGGAAAAGATTCATTCAGACTTAGAAAGTGTTGTACATTGTATTGCATACAATTGACTGACTTGTACATTACTGCCATTATCACCCATTCAAAAGTGTCTGAATGAACCCATGTAAGACTGGTGCTGTGCAATATAGTTCCCAGATGAGGGTCCAGGGGAAAGAACTGAGCCTGTGTCTTAAAACGTTGCTGTCGCTTACCCCAAGGGCGCTCTTCTCAGACATCTCCCCATTGGGTCTCTTCTTACACTCCCAATCCTGAAGGAACAGTTCGTCATTGGTTGTTTATAAGATGGGAATAGGAGTGTTTACTGTGGCTGGTCTGCAGGGAGACTGTGTTTTGGGTGTGAGAGTCTTACCTTCTTACCATCTAAAGCTGCTTCCTTTCCTTGAGTTTGTTGTAATTTGTTTTTGTAAAATATTGTGAATTCTGGATATGTTTGTAAAAAGGATTGTTCAAGATTTCTAGCAAATGTTTACAGATCTTTTAATGAATAAAGGCATTTAAAAAGATCCCACAGATCTCTTGGAGAATTTAAAATAAATCTACTTAAGATGTGTATTGGTTACTTTTCTTTTGCAGTGGTAATACAAGAAACTTAAAGGAGAAAGCTTATTTGCCTTACAGTTCCAAGGGGTGGGAGTCCAAAGGCATGGAGGCAGCATTGGGGAACTGAGAGCTCGCGCCTTCAAACTGCAACTGGGAAGCACAGTGCAAAAGTGCCTTGAGGCTTTAAACTCTAAAAGCCCACCACCAGCCAGGCTGCACCTCCTAAACCACCCCAAGAGCGCCACCAACTAGGGACCGAGTGTTCAAATACCTAAGCGTAGGTGAGGCAGTTCTTATCAAACCCCAAGTTGTGAAGCTCTTTCACTTTACTTAAACCTATAGGCAGCACGTTTTACATAATGTAAAATCATAAGAACTCCTATCCATCTTAGACTAACCGGGCTTACAACTGAGACCAACGTTTCCAAAGCTCTAAGCCTTGGTTGAATGCCCATTAGGCGGGATACATAGTCCAACGATCTTTTTTTGCACTTACCTCTTAGGCTGGGAGAAACTTAACAGAGAATGTAAACTAGCTACATATGAGGGGAAGGGAGTCAAGGAGAATCACCATTACCACAAATCCTACAGGCAAAATGATTAGATTTTATGTAGGCCCCAAAGACGAAAACATGGCGGAGCTTTTTAAGCGAGGGATCTGTAGATAGAATTCTAGTCCTGGAATGGGGGAGGTGTTCATCTGCAGTGCTGGGGATTGAGGTGGAGCTTTACCACGGAGCCGCACCCCCAGCTTCTTAAATAAGGTTGTTAGTCCTGAAAACTATCATTTTCATTTTTAACAGGCTCCCATTTCTACTGTCTTATATAAAAAGAACATTCTTAAAGGGCCCGCTGTGGATGGGGATAAAGTAAGGGGTGCTAGAAGCCCCACACTAAGCGAGTTTAGAAGGTGGAAGGTTAAAGGGCGTGGGAAATATATTTCTCCTCTCCACTTAAGTCCAGCAACCGCCTCTTAACAGGTTCGCACGGCCCGAGTGCTCGGAGCTTTCTGTCTTTTAAACCCCTCTCCCTTCTGCTATGCGGCTGCTAGTCTCACCTGCATTGCTAGCATCTACGCCGAACTCAAAAGACACGGTTCCCTCTCCCTCTCGTCTTGCCTCTTGTGTGCCCTATTGTTTTTCTCTTAAACTCGAATAAAATTGTCCTCGGAGCTTCAGAATAAAACCACACGGTAGCCACGGAAAGACAGGCAAAGTGCTGGGCCTACTGAGACATCCGCGCGTGAGGCCTCGTCCACCCCAAACAAAACAGTCTCTAAGGCCTAGCGGCTACAGAATTAGCCGCTCTGCGCGCGCCCGATCCAATAGGCAGCGCCGCGGATGACGTCATCTCCGGGCGCAGGCGCAGTGGAATGGCACTGAGCCTGCGCAGACTGACGGCGCTCGTGGAGCGGAGTGCCACGCAATGGCGGGCACGGGCTTGGTAGCCGGGGAGGTGGTGGTGGATGCCTTGCCGTACTTTGACCAAGGCTACGAGGCGCCCGGCGTGCGGGAAGCGGTGAGTGCGCGGCGTGTGCGGAGGGGTCGCCCGAGGCACGCTGCCGGTTCTCGCCGCGACCCCGGCTTGTTCTCTTTCTTAGGCTGCGGCCCTGGTGGAGGAGGAAACGCGCAGATACCGACCTACCAAGAACTACCTGAGCTACCTGACAGCCCCGGATTATTCTGCCTTTGAAGTAAGTGCGGTGTCTGGTCCCGCGTCCCGACCAGGATTCTTGCCGATTTAGATTTCGGATTGAGGGCTTTAGCTGTGTAAAATGGACGTCTTCCAGGTTGCTGGAAGCAGCTGCTGCTTGCTGCTCATATTGCATGACATGTAGGTGTCAGTTGGTTCAAAATAGCCAGATGAGCTTTCCTCTGGGTTCGTATTACAAGAAGTACTTTATGGGTTTCTGTAGACTTGTTTAATAAAATATTTTGGGTCTTTTGTTTTTAAGAGACACTAATAATTTCCCCCAAATCCTTTATTCTCTAAGGTCCACTAAAAAACAGGTAGTAATCACGGGATTTTAATATTTATAATCTTAACTTCCTGTGCTCTTTGCAACCACTGGAGGGAGAATTTTGTAACAAAACTCAGATAGTTAGCAGGAGTATGAATGTCTGAGCAAACATGTCTAACTGCATATCATTTAAAATTGTTATACTACAAGTACAACAAAAATACCATTTAGGTCCTAATCAGGTATTCGGTTACAAACTTTTAAATGATTTAAAACATTTTTTCTACCCTTTTAAAATGCAGCAGCGTAATTCCTGTCTTTATAATTAGTGTCTGGTTAATTTAATCCTTTCTTACTAGTTCCTAATGGTGTATTTGACTATTTTTCCTAGCTCAGAAATTGGTCCTATGAATTACATAACTGTTCATTTTTATTCTTTTGTCAATTAACTTTTTGGAGGCTGGAACTCATGCTGGCCTGCAACTCACTTAGACAGGTCAACTTTGAAGTTGGAATAATCCTGCTTCAGGCTTGTGAGTGTTGAAATTACAAGTGTAAGGCACCACATCCAGCTCTTGCTGTAGGGGTGTGTGTGTGTGTGTGTGTGTGTGTGTGTGTTTAAATAGAGCCTCAAGTAGCTCAGGCTGGCATTGAACTCTGCATGTAGCCTGGGATAGCAGATTGCCAATCCGTTTATCTCTACCTCCAAATGCTGGGATTAAAGGCATGACCACCACTCCCAGATGTCATTTTGATTTGCGTTTTCTGATAACTGTGTGTCCAGCTGATTTGCCTGTTTGGTTATTTTGATACTTATCCTTTGATATTTAGATTTCTCCTGTTCTCTGTATATTGTGGTATTAATCCCCTGTAAAATAAATAGCTGGCAAAGATTTCCATTCTGTAAGGTCTCTTCACTCTGGTAATTGTTTCCTTTGTTTACACACACACACACACACACACACACACACACACACACACACACATATTCCCCAGGGTTTCTTTGTAATATAGCCTGGCTGTCCTGGAACTTGTTTTGTAGATCAGGCAGACCTCAGACTCACAGAGATCCACCTGCCTCTGCTGAATGCTGGGATTAAAGGCGTGCGCTGCCACTGCTCATCAAAAAAGCTTTTTAATTTGTTGCGTTGAACATATGCTTCCTAGACTACTTGACTCCTATTCAGAAAGTGCTTATAATAAAGTGTCTCCCTCTCATAAATACTGTCTATGCAAACTTAACAGACTATATTGTAGAACAGAATAGGCACAGTCCGTATCTTCACCGAATTTAGATTCTAGTTTTGAGATGGGCAAATAAATTAAAATTCTCAGATTTTGTGATAAATGCTGTATAGAAATTAATGATATTGCTGGGCTTGGTGGCCCACACATTTAATCCCAGCACTCAGGAGGCAGAGGCAGGCGGATCTCTGTGAGTTTGAGGCCAGCCTGGTCTACAGAGCTAGTTCCAGGGCAGCCAGTCTACACAGATGTGATAACAACTGGGTGGCTGTCATTCATTAATTAGATGGTTGAGAGAGACCTTTCAGGCTGAGAGACTGCTCCCTGTATGGGGTTAGTTATACCTTCCTTATCTGGAGCCCGGGTTCTTAAACTGTTGTAACTCTTTGTGGGGGTCTTATAAATCCAAGTGGTTAATTCAGAAATCAAGTCCCAAATCCAAGGTTCTGGCAGTGCTGATACATGTTGCATTGTGTGACTAGACATGTGGGATTTACACTGTGTCAAGCCACACAGCACCAGAGACTACCTGAAACATTTGGCTCAGATTAAGACTCTTATGTGTTGTGAAATGCCATGTAATGTGTGGCTGGGGTTAAAGTTGTCTTCAGAGCTCCACAGCATTGAAAACTGCTGATTGAGGGTTAATCCTTGACCCATGGGTTCTTTTGTGTTTGCCTCCTTTTGTGCCTAGGTAGAATATAGAATTAAAGTGTGTGCCTATTTCTTCAAACCCTAGAGAGACTTGAGCTTAGACCCAAACTGGGGGATGATGGGAATGTAGCATAGTGGGTGCACATGTGTAAGACCCTGTACCCTCTAAAAGGGGCTGTAGAGTGGGGTTGGTATTGAGAGAAGCAGAAAGAGCCATTATAATGTAGTACAAAGTATAAAAACCTCAGTAAACATTATTTTTAGCTTGATCCTGCTACTGATTCTTTGTGTTGTTTGTGCATCAGACTGACATAATGAGAAATGAATTTGAAAGGCTGGCTGCTCGACAACCAATTGAATTACTCAGCATGAAACGGTGAGTGAGGTTAGGCTTGGGGAGGGGTTGCTTGGCTGACATTGGGAAGAGTATTACCAGCTGTGTGGAGGCTGTGAACAGCGAGATTAGAAGATAGAGTGCTGTTAGTTATAAACATGATTACAGCCTTTTTTCTTTAAACAAAAAATGTTAGCAACGCTAATTAATTTTTAAGCAACTTTTTAAAAAGCTGGTAAGGCAGATTTTACCCAAGGCAAACAGGGATGAGAGACATCAGAGTCTCTGTGACATTTACAGGCTATTTAACTAGTTTACATTTATGAAAATATTTTTTTGTTCCAGGATACAGTTGTGTTTTATTTGTAAATGAGTTTCCAGGGCAATGGGTTTCTTTTACTGTGTCAGTCATTTTGTTAACATTCCTGTGGTGGGGCAAGGGTTGGTATTTGTTTCGTGTGTGTGTGTGTGTGTGTGTGTGTGTGTGTGTGTGTGTGTGTGTGTGTATGTGAGGCATATATCCTATCCATGGGGATTCTATGTTGGTTTATTTATTTGTTGTATAATTTCAGATATGAACTTCCAGCCCCTTCCTCGGGTCAGAAAAATGACATTACTGCATGGCAAGAGTGTGTAAACAATTCCATGGCCCAGTTAGAGCACCAGGCAGTGCGAATTGAGAATCTGGAACTGATGTCACAGCACGGGTGTAATGCCTGGAAAGTATATAATGAGTAAGAAACATCGGCCTCCTTCCTGCCCTCTTCCATCCAGAGTTTTCTGTCTTTTAAAGGGGTAGTATGTACGTACTTAGAATCCCAGCACTAGGGTAACTGAGACAGGAGGAAATACCACAAATTCAGGGCCTTCCCGTTTTATATATTGAGTCATCCTAGGCTTATATAGTAAAATCCTATATCCAAAATAACAACAACAATAATGCTGGATTTGACTTGGGAATGTATCAGTACAGCAACAAAAGGCTTTAGTCCTACCTTAGAGTTCACCAGTGTTAACCTAGCCTACATTCACATAACTACGATATAAGAAAATGAATTTGGAGGGCGACTAACAGAGTACTATAGGATGCAGTCTGATTTTCATATTCACCTGTCATGATCTTTAAAGTCCTGGCCAGATGGTTACTCAGCTGTAGTCCTGCAATGTTCAGGAGGCTAGGGTAGGGAGATCTCCATGAGTTCTTGGCCAGCTTGGGCTAGAGAGTGAGATCTTGCCTTTAAAAAAAAAAAAAAAAAACAATCAACAGCTACATGGTGGTGATGCACACCTTTAATCACAGAACTTGGGAGGCAGAGTCAGGCATATCTCAGAGTTCAAGTCCAGCCTGGTCTACAGAGACTGCCTTGGTCTACAGTCACAGCCCTCCAGCAAGGATGCTGCCGGCTTGGAGATGTGGTCACTGCCATTGCCATCTCTCATACACACCAATAAATTGTTAGCAGTGCTTTTTTAAAGCCTTGCGGTTTTTTGCCGCTTATGCTGAGTCAGGAAACTTTTCTTAAAGGAGCGCGTGAATATCTGCTTGTCTCTCGCAAAGCAGAGTCCAACCGAGAAAAACGCTGCTACCAAGAAACCTTGCTTGTCTCTGTTCTTTTGTTTCAGGACAGCCAGAGCTACACAGGGAAACCCTGTCTCAAAAAAGAAAGAAAAGAAAAAAGGGTGGAACAACCCTTGTGTAGCCTTAGCTAAGGCCAGCAACCCAGAGTGTTCACTGCCATGCACGATTTGTGAACTGCTGCAAATATAAACAGTAGTTCAGGCAAGGTTGGCAGTCTGCAGTGTAGGATTTGGGAATGATGAGGATCGAAGCTATAGATTCTACTGGTTTTGGTGTGTTGGTGCCACCAGTTTAGCTCCAGGTTTCATGAGAGAGTCTGCTGGTGATAAACTAGAGAGAGATGGAGGACACCCAGATCCTCCTTCAGCCTCCACATGGGCAAATGTTACTGTACATTTCAAAACAGAATGAGAATCATTAGCCGGGTATGGTTGTACCTGCCTGTATGCCTATAAGCTCAGTACAGGTATGGTGGTTCACGCTTAATATGCTAATAAGCTCAGTACTTGGGAGGCCGAGGCAGATGGACAGATCTGTGTGAGTTCCAAATCAGCTTAATTCACATGAGTAGATCCTGTCTCAAAAAAAAAAAAAAAAAAAAAAAAAAGAGTCAGTTAAAAGGATGGTAGAAGCTGGACCTAGTAGCACCTTTAATCCAAGCATTTGGAAGACCAGTGCCGAACTGGGTTGAGACCCTTTTGCAAATAGATTTTTCTTTTTTTCTTTTTTTTTTTAAAAAGTGTTCTGCTGGCATGTCTGCCTGCAGGCCAGAAGAGGGCACCAGATCTCATTACCGATGGTTGTGAGCCACCTTGTGTTTGCTGGGAATTGAACTCAGGACCTCTGGAAGAGCAGCCAGGGCTCTTAACTTCAGAGCCATCTCTCAGCCCCTCTCAGATTTTTAAAAGGATGATGGAATCAGATGGTGGCAGTGGTACTATGTTTACCAAGCACACACAGCTATGGGTTTGATACCTAACACATCCACACAGACAAAAGATTGGAGTCATAAATCAGCAAGCAAAGTTGGCATAGTGAGACAGCTGAAGTCCCAGCATTAGGTGGAGACAAAAGAATCTCAAGCTGAAGGTCAGCCATGCTATAGAGTGGTGGGACCTTCCCTGAGATGAGAGACAGGCAGTGTGGAGGACAAAGGAGAAGGTCACTTTCTAGTCTGCTTGTCGCCTTTAACTCAGATTCTGCCCACAGCTCTCTTCTCTTACTAACTGCTGTGCATATGTAATCACAGCACTTTCCTTTAGTCACAGCACCTCTGTTGGACATTCAGAGCATATTTTGCCTCCTCCAAACCCAACAGATACTGTTTCACAGGAAACATGTTATCAAAGTAAACCTTCAAGAAGAAAGTTCAAACAAGGAAAAAAAATCTGTTTTAATGATACGAGGGCAGAATAGAGCATCAAAAAGATCCCTTCAGCATGTGGGGCGTGATGACGCCTCAGAAAGTGAAGAGTAGGGGGAAAACCTGGATAGGTGCAGCTGTGTGATGAAAGCAGTCGTTAGAGGAGAGAAATGAGGATGAGCAGCAGCAAATCTGAATTTAGTAGCCAGGAAGCTCAGGGCAGTGGGTTACCAAGGTTGCTCCTGGAGACCCGGAAGGTGATCTGCTGTCAGAAGTTGTTGTTGCAGCATGTGGTTGTGGTGGCATGTTCCATAACTTCGCAGTTGTGTGAAACATAAACTGAGGCAAGAGGATTGCCTGAGTGTAGGGGTTAAGGATATCCTAATCATCATAGTGGGACACCGTCTCCAAAACAGATTCCTGAGAATTTAAAAAGTAACATCGTGGAGGGTGGCACACACCTTTAATCCCAGCACTTGGGAGGCAGAGGCAGGCAGATCTCTGTGAGTTCCAGGCCAGCCTGGTCTACAGAGTGAGTTCCAGGACTGTTACAGAGATCTGACTGGAGGTAGGGAGTGGGAAGTAACATTAAATACCCAAAACCAAGCTGTCAGTAAAGTGCTGGGTTAAACAAGCTAATGTTTATGAATTATCTGACACACTAAGCACAGAGACCCCAGGATTTAGTAATTTTAGCAGAAAAACCTGACTTTGTATAATACAATAGAGAGTTCAGTTTTCATTGGTGCTACCAGATTTCAGAGTGTATGTGTTCTTCCTTAGAAACCTCGTTCACATGATTGAACATGCACAGAAGGAGCTTCAGAAGTTAAGGTAAGTTGTTTTTTTCTATTTGAGCTCTGACAGAGTGGGGGAAGAAAACTATTAAGACTATAGTCCTGTGAAAGTAAATAGCTATCCACTTTCCTTAAACAATTATTTTTCAACTGTGTATTGCTGTCAGTGTGTAAAATAATTGCCTTTGAGAAATAGAAATTCATAAATTCCAAGAAGTAGATAGCAAGGAGTAGCAAAAGTCAGAGTTTGTATGTTGTGTCATGTATTGAAGGGAAACTTTGTTGCATGTTTTCTGGTTTATGAGAAGTGGGTTGGGAAACCCTGAACAGTTCATAGATTGAGCCAGGAGTATAGATCACAGCTGTAGCCCTAATGCTTTAGATGCTCACAGCTGTAGCCCTAATGCTTTAGATGCTCACAGCCTGGGCTATATGGTGAGACACTGTCTCAAAAAAAGGGATTTGTACCTGAGGATACTCCGGTCAGCAGGGATCATGTTGAACATCCAGTAGAGAAACCTTGGAAACTGACCTGGCCTCCAACCAGTTACAACAATAGTTACAACTTGAAAGAGCCCGGCATGCTGCATTGGAAAGCCAACTCATTGGTTTAGGGGCTGGTGGATTGTGGATTGGCAGGACCAAATGACAGGATAGAACAGACCTTCACACGCTCTCTAATATATTACTGTATTACAAGTGCAAGAAATCGTCTTCATTTTGGGTTTTTGTTTTTAAATTGGTTTTGGTTTTAGACAATGGATCATTTAACAAATAGCCATGTACTAACTGTAATCTACCGTGGCCAGCATCTGGCACTGAGTTTGCTGTATCTAAGTGGAGGTAAAAATAAGCTAGAAACCTGAAAATGAATTCATGTTCCACAACTCACAAATCTACAAACTAGAAAGAACACCTTGGGAGTGAGGGAGGACATTGCAGAGTAACACACTGCACACATGCACATATGGGAAAGAACCTGGAAAGATGTCCACTGTCTTAGTTCACATTCTGCTGCTAATAGTACCACAGACTAGAGAAGTCTGAAGGAAAAGACCTTTATTTTGGCGTACAGTTGTAGATCGATGAAGCTGAAGGAGTTCATCTGTTGACAACCCTGTTAGGGACAGATCCCAACGGTGTAGATGGATTCACATGACAAGACAAGGAGGCTGCATGTGTGTTCTGGTTTTCTAACTAGTATTCTGTATTTGGAGTTCTGTTCTGGTAATCTTACATAACCTACACCTTAAAGTCTGCCACTAAGCACTGTGACTGGACCAGCTTCCATCCCCGTAGCATCTCATAACGGCATTTATGCTCCAGGGTGAATGCTAGACAGGGTAAGCATTCAAAGCGTGGTACTCATTGAAAATCCCACAGCCATTGCCAGGGAATGGAAGGAGGAATTTGTAATCTACGTACATGTTTGTGGGTGGTTGATGTTTTCTCCCATAATGAGCATATTCTCTGAAAGGTGTAATTAAATAATTAGAAGAAAGTTAATTCCTGAAATTAACCTATAATTGTGTATGTGAGCCTAAAGAGCTTAAAGATAATTTCTTGTATTATTTTGTTCTGTTGATTTTTGTCATATGTTAAAATGTCAATGGGTTATACAAAATATTTCTACAGGAAACATATTCAAGATTTAAACTGGCAGCGAAAAAACATGCAACTCTCAGCTGGATCTAAATTGAGAGAAATGGAGTCAAAGTGAGTGTATAATTTCACCGTGTTTTAAGTCTCATGTGTTCTAAGAGCAGATTTACAATTACAGTAATATTCACGTAGGGTGCCACAGGAATCAAAGGCTGTTCATGTGCCTGCCCTTGCTGAGGGAGGCCCTTAGGAAACAGCTGGGGCTGCAGACAAGGGCTGAGCTAGTGCTAAGTGGTGCTGGTGTCACAGCCCCCAACTTGAGACCATTAATCTTGTAGGAAGGGGAATTTCATACTTTGCCTAATTTGTTTACCCCTGTTATTGCATATTATTTTTAAAATATTATTCTACATATGTCATTTATAGAAAGCCCTAACTATAAGTGGTATGTGGCTATGAGCACCTTAGCCCCAGCATGTGAGAAGTTAAGCAAGAAGGATCTTAAATTTAAGGCCAGCCGTGGCTACAGAGTGAAAGAGACCCAATTTCAAAAGGAAGAATTAAATACCTATATCTAGTGATGGGTTTTTATGTCATTTCTGTTTTTCTACTTTCCCCTTCATCACCCACACCATTCTCCTTGCCCCTCTTCCCATCTTCAGTGTCTTCAGTGTCTGGTCCCTTCCACATTTTTCTTCAAGCTCATGCTTCTTTTAAATTTGTCCTTGAGATTTATTTACAGAAACTAGTGACTTCCTTAAGTTTATGGATTTGGTTTGGTTTGGGTATTTGTTTTTTCTTTTTTTCCTTTGTCAATTCTAGAATCTTGTCCACCATTTTCTAAGACTGCCCTGTTTTCTGTTAACCTTATGCTGTCTTCCATTACCCCTTCCTTTCTCTTCTGTCTCACTAATTCTCTTCTGTTTCCTAAGGAAAACTTATGAGTCAGTTGTAGATTCACTTATGATTATAAGAAATAATGTAGAGGGCTGGAGAGATGACTCAGGTTAGGAGTACTAGCTGCTTTTCCAAAGGTCTGAGTTCAATTCCCGGCAACCACATGGTGGCTCACAACCATCTGTAATGAGATCTGATGCTTTCTTCTGGCCTACAGGGTTACATGCAGGCAGAACACTGTATACATAAATTAGTAAATTGAAAAAAAAAGCTGGGTGGTGGTGGGGCACACCTTTAACCCTAACACTCGGGAGGCAGAAGCAGGTGGATCTCTATGAATTTGAGGCCTGCCTGGTCTACAGAGTGAGTTCCAGGACAGCCAGTGATGTTACATAACCCTGTCTTGGGAAAAAAAGAAGTAATGCAGAGAGATCCTATATACCCTTTACTACTTTCCCAAGAGTGTGCTTCATGTTTTTGTTTTTTTTTTTTTTAACAGAAAGTTAAAATGTTAGTGCCCTGAATGAAACTATATGTTTAAGATAAACTCTGAAATTTTATATCAAGCTTTTTTGTTTTTTGTTTTTTTTTTAACTTATCTTTCTCCCTTTCCTAGTTGGGTATCCCTGGTAAGTAAGAACTATGAGATTGAAAGGACTATTGTGCAGCTGGAGAACGAGATCTATCAAATCAAGCAGCAGCATGGGGAGGCAAACAAGGAAAACATCCGCCAAGACTTCTGACCTTGGGCAGAAGGGAAGAGACACCTCAGGCCCCTGGGCTTTGTCAGAGCATGTTTAGAGACTGTGGAATGTGGACTGTTGTGTTGCTTTATGTGTGTATTAGCAAAATGAAGATTTTCAACATGTTGCTATTTTTGTAGCTATAAAAATCTGAGTTTTTAAAGTGAGTATGACTTTACAATTATCTTGTCATATTTTGTAGCAGAAGTTCTTTTTTGAAGGCTTCAGATTTTGTAACTAAGCTTCTTTATTTAAGACTTCCAACATGTTTGGGAAGGTGCGAACTTTGAGTTTATGTTTTTGTTGAATAAAGTACAGTTCTAAGCATTTTTGTGGGTGGGTACAGTAAACTGTATTGGTGGTGTTATTGAGAGTGCGGCTCCTTTTTGGGGTTCTATGTTAGAAACAGGCCATGGCTCGGTGTTGGGGGCTGAGCTGGGATAGACACTCCTCAGCAGCCGAGGGCCTGTCTTCCTCTCTTCTTGCTGTGGTGTGTGGTTTAGAGCTTCATACTCCTTCTTAAGGCCATGTAGGCTGTGAGGTTCACCACCCTGTGACTATAGCCTTATTCATTGTCACACAAAGAACTGAGGTTGACAGAGGCGCTGAAGCAATGCAGCCCCAGCTGCTGGTGTTCTGTGTTGCACAGGACAATCAAAGAAAGGGCCACTCCAGAATGTAATTCAGGCTCCTTGGCAGCACAGAGGGAGGTCCAGCCTCTGATGGACTGAACCTCCAGCCATTCAGAAGTGAATTTTTGATTGTAAAACAAATTCCTTTAACCAAAACCTCTTTGATCTATATGTTCTCTGAAGAAAAAGGTCACACCCCTGCAACTTCGGTCTTTAATTTGTAGTGTTTGCAGTACCCAGCATACAAGATACTACATACAGGTGTGCTAGGATAGTCTTATGACCAGAGTCATGCAGTGAATGGAAAAGTCCTTCAGAAAAAACAACTCTGAAACATAGAAAACAATCACTGTTCTCTACTATGGTTTCTTCAAGGTCTAAGTACCTCCAACAAACAACTATTTCATTCTAATATTGCCCTGGATACAATGAGAAGCAACCATTTCATCCAATGTTTACCCTAGATAGAATGACTACCAGATTCCCACTACACACAGCACCAAAACTGGAAAAGTGCCTGGCAGTGGTGGTGCACACCTTTGATCCCAGCACTTGGGAGGCAGACGCAGGTGGATCTCTTTGAGTTGGAGGCCAGCCAACCAGATCTACACAAAGAAACCCTATCTTCAAAAAACAAAAAGTAGTGGAAAAGTCGGCATTGCTGTTAAAGTTGGAGGAGACAACCTGGTCCTCAATGTAGCCCAAGATGCCCTTTATCTTGTTTCACCACCTTATTGATGTCATCATACTTGGCAGCTTCAGGTGGCATGTCAGCTCCACAATGGACACATTGGGGTAGGAACACAGAAGGCTGTACTAATGAGTTTCCCATTTAAGTCTGAGATGACCATGCCCATGGCCTTGGCAGTGCTAGTGGGTACAAGGATGGTGTTTTAGGCAGCTCTCTGTTTTCCAGAGAGGCTATCTGCAGTCCTCTGGGTGGTGGTGATGGCAAGATCCTTGATGGTGCTATAATTGTTACAGATAACCTTCACAGGCAGCTAAACAGTTGGTGATGCAAGAGGCATTGTTGACAGTGTCAAGCTAGTCATCGTAGTTCTTATGGGTCACACACATCACAAACATGAGGGGTATAATCAGAAGGGGCTCTACCCTTCAAGTGGGCCTTGTTCTCCATGGTGGTATAGATGCCAGAAACCCCACAAAATACAGCATTTGATAGTGGGATCTCACTGCTGGAAGATGGGAGATGGCCTTTCTGTTGATGACAAGCTTCCCATTCTGAACTTAAACCGTGCTGTGGAATTTGCCATGGATAGAATTGTACTGGAACATACATACTATGTGTTTGTAGTCAATGTAGGGGTCATTGATGGCAACAATATCCACTTTGCCAAGAGTTGAAGGCAGCCCTAATAACCCAATACAGCCAAATCTAGTCATTTCTATCTTCACCATCGTGTCTCAAGGACTAGGCTAGATTACACAAGAAAACACTGCTGTCTCTGGAATGAGGGAGAACAGAGGACTTGAGCACTTTCTTGATCAGCAAATGTTTTGATTCATCTTTGATGTCGACTTGTTTGCAAGGCCCCTAGAAAGTTGTGAAGTGAGATGACAATGACTCCTTGACAATAGGCACTATTCAGACCCTGGAATTGGTTTGTGATAGTTTCTTTATTGCACTCCTCCAACACAATAGGAATTGGGGACCATATGGAAAAACAGTCAAGAAAGGGATTAGAACCCTGGAAGTAGAGCTCCATGGGCAATCCTGGTGAGGGCTTACACAGCACTGTAACGATTATGTTCACGGGGTTTCCAAGTGGGAATAAGGATTCAGGAACTGGACCAGAGGCCACCCCTGCAGCTTTGTTGAGTTTGAGGGTAGCAGACTAATGTAGGAGAAAGACACAGCAACAGTGTTCAGGGTTTAACCTGGGTGTTTCTGGCTCCTTGTAGACATATTTTTCCTATGCGAATCAGGAGCAACATACTGGAGCAGAAATACTGGGAAACCTTGGAGTTTGGCCAGAAAAGAAGCATGTTGACAAATACTGCCAAATAGTGCACATTTTTTTTAAAGATTTATTTGTTTATTATGTATACAACATGTGTGTATATATTCCTACAGACCAGAAGAGGGCACCAGATCTCATTACAGTTGGTTGTGAGCCAACATGTGGTTGCTGGGAATTGAACTCAGGACCTCTGAAAGAATAGTCAGTGTTCTTAATCCACTGAGCCATCTCTCCAGCACCAAGTGCACAATTATTAAGAGACCATTGCTATTCAAAGGAAGAAAGTCAGTATGTGGTTGCTCAGCATGAGGTCCCAGAATTTCAGGGTTCGGTGTGAGTTTAAGAACAGCCTAGACTACAGAGTTGAGACCCTGTCTTCAAAGGAAGTGCTTAGAAAAGGACAATAGGAAAAAACAAACAAAAAAACTTTGAACCGATTTCCCATAAATTAGTTTCAGAGATCCTGCGGCACCCTGATTGCACTGAGTCATCTAGGGAAATGTTTCTCTGGGATTTTCCTCCATCTTCAGCCATTAAGGCGTTCAGAGACTGTGAGGTTGAGATGGGCCAGTCCACTAGCCACACCAGCAACCCCCAGTGCCGCTGCCACTCGCTCTTGTCCTTGTGATGCCAGTTTTGCTAAAGAATGCAAGAGTTAGGGCTTATAGAGACTTAGCATGAAATTTCAAATGAAAGGGAGGCCCACTGTGCCTGGGCCATGTCCCACAGCAGCCCCTGGCGGTGAAGCGAGAAGCTGGGAGTGAGGCCAAAACTGTAGTGGAGAAATGCCTGCCGAATGGAGATAGATAGCAGAACCAGTCTGAGACTGGCCGTGTGGCCTGCTACAAACAAAGCCAGAGGTGTGCGACTAACCTAGTCATGTCACACCACTGGATCCTCCATTACTAGTCACTAAGCAATGAGTTAATGTTAGTGCCACTGAGTTTATATTTCTGAGGTTTCTACTTAAATCCTCCCTTTCTGGGCTCCTATCCCTATTGGGAGTGGGAATGTTTGGCCTATGCTGCTGTATTTTGGACCTATGTAACTTCTGATTTTTACAGTGTTTCAGAACTGCCAGAGGGGACTTCGAACCTGGACTTTGAAATAAGGGAACTTTTCAGACTCTCGGGAATCTTGGAGATGAACTGAATGCATTTTACATTGTGAAATGGGCGTGAGCCTTTGGAGCCAGACTCAATACTGTAGTTTGAATCTTGAATGTCCCCTCCAGAAATCCACGTATCAGAGGCTCATTCTTATGCTCCCAAGGGCTGGCAGAACGTTTAGTGGTCAAAACCTACTATATAAGCATTAGGTCATTAGGGGTTTGTGCTCAATGTGGATATTAAGATCTGTTAGCCATAATTCCAGATAGCAACTTAAAAGGTACTTGAGCACAAAGCATCATATCTTGGGCTAACTTTGCAGACTTCGTGTCAGTCCTTCGGGACCTCACTCTCTGTCTCATTCTCCTATGTCAGCAAGACTCTGTCTAAAAACACAGATGAAGGGGTATAATTCAAACACTTTGGAGACTGAAACCATACAATTGGGAGTTCCAGGCTAGCTTTAGCTAAAAGTAAGATCTTGTCTCAAACACACAACAGAAAACTTAACAGACAAGGGCTGGAGAGATAGCTCAGGGGTTAAGAGCACTGGCTGTTCTTCCAGAGGTCCTGAGTTCAATTCCGAACAACCACATGGTGGCTCACAACCATCTATGAGATCTGATACCCTCTTCTGGCCTGCAGGCATACATACCAGCAGAACACTGTATACATAATAAATAATTAAAAAAGAAAAACCTTAACAGACTTCCAAAAATGGAATCAAAATTAAAAATAAAAGGGAGGGGGGACAGATCAAAGATAAGAAAATAGGGTCAAATCTAGAATATAAATATCCAAAAGACTCTGGGGTCCAGAAAAGAGCAAGCGTAGAGAAGAACTCATAAACAAGACTGTTTCAAAATGTCTTGATGCAAAACAGGTCTAACTTCAAGGTAATAAATAAGTATTTTTCTGAATCAAACATTAGTGAGAATGGACCAGAAACATGGATTCAAGTTGGCTAGAATGTTCCAATGAGGAAGTGGCTACATGAAGTTCTTATGGTGGCAGAGCAAAAAGGTCATAATCAGGTAATTTACTACATGCATTGGTGTGAACGTCACATAAGTGAGTTGCCATGAAGTGGAAAAACCCAAGATGTATTAGAAGCGACCTGACCCAATGACATGCTGGACTTTGGGGTTGGTAGAAGCATGTGGTCTGGTAATACATTCCAAAATTTTGCCGAATAGTTGAAAGGACATTAGGTCAGACAGAGGTAGACAGTGGGTTGCTATAAAAAGAACCCAAAGCAGTCAAGTGGTTTGATTCTAGATCTGCAACATCCACAGTCTCCGAGTTCTAGTGAGTCATTCAGTCTTGGAGAATCTTGAACATAGGTATGGCTTTTTCTGGGAATTTTACAAACATTCCACCATGAATCTTCAGATTTAAAAGATCCCCCCAGTATAGTAAATGAAAATAGAAGTGTTCCAAAACATAGTTGTTCGATTTTTCAGAATACTAAGCACAATAGAAGATTTTACACGCTTTCAGTAAGTGGAGAGTCTGTTATGTAGGAGGGATCAAGGGTCAGGCAATCTTATAAGTTGATTCAGGAAGATCCAAAGTTGAAGGTTATCCTGGGTTAGATGATGACA